AACAATTATTTTAACAATTTCGTGTCATTGCATTGTAATCGTAAATGTACGACTATCAGACTAATTCCGGTGACCGCAATAGTATGACAAATTAGGACATCCCAACAAAATTTTATGCGTCACAACAGTTATTACATAGATTTTGGACGAAGTAAAATACTTAGCCAATATCTTTGCTTTTTTGCAAATTTGCATTATGTGCATATTCTAAATGCAGACAGGCTCTTATTCCCTTGTTCTTTTCATTGCGTTTGTGATGGATGTCCAGACTGATGGTATTTCTGGTTTGAATGGTGGAACTTAAAACGCGTAGACTTTTTGTTAGTTGCCGAGAGTTCTTGTTTTCGCTCACCGCCTTACTAGCCTCTTTTGCTTCCTACTCTTGTTGTGCTTAAGACATTTGCCGAAATTCTTACATAGTCGTAAACGACGCGGAGAGGTTCTTTTTCAAACCTCCAGGGTTGTCTTCAACGTCATTCTATATAGCGTATGCATTTTGCGAAATTTTAAAGTTTAGACATGGCTTGATAGAGGCAACTTCTCTTCGTGCTGTCAAAAACGGCCTCGAAATCGACGAAAAGTTGGCGTGTGTCGACTCGCTTATCCAAATTCTTTTCCAGAATTTGACGAAGGGTGAAAATCCAGTGACTTCAAACTACAAAAATCTTTTGTTAGGAGACGGTAACTTTATTAAGAATATATAAGAGAGAAGTATCCTGTCTCGTAAATGTTTGAACTCAAAGTGGTTAAAGTGAAAAGTAAACAAACGGATTTTAAGCTTAGCTAAATGTTATGTAAAACAAATCTCTCCACTTTTGCATTCAGTCATTCAACTTTCAAATATTTCTAAACAAATTTCATGCTTTGTTCGTGCTAAATATGTTCATTTTTACAAGTTGTCAGCAAAATAATTATCTTGTTTTAGTGTGCAAATTTCAATAGTGAACAATTCACATCTTTTGTTTCTCGCAAGTTAAGTGTTGACTTGCATGCAAACATGGATATACTATATGTTATGAGATACAAACGGATTCGCACATAATGCATTTCTATATTTTTTTTTAGTATTTGTAGTACTATTGTCTTCAATTTGTATCACTGCGTGCATTATAGAATTTTCAAATATATAGGGTGATGCAAAACTTTGGCGGCATTGATATGTGACATATTGATATTATTTTAAATATTTTTTTTAGACAATTGGCACTACAGGCTTTAGCAAACGTAGTCATTGAGCGATACTTAAGCGGTTGTGCAACGCATAAAAGCCTGATTATGGCAACTTAACTTAACTTAACGGATCGTAGAACTTAGAGTATCAAAATGAACCAGATTTCGAGGTGGCATTAAGTTAGGTTAAGTTTCGGCTGTTCAATTATAAGCAACACACATTTACCAGAATTTTGAAGAGAGAGCCGTAAGTTACGTTAAGTTGTTATAATCAGACCATAAAAGTGATCAAAACCGTTGATGTCCATTATTAAAAAAAATAATAACAATGAAAAACATGAGCGATGAGGCAACTGCGCCTACTGTAAGAAAAAACTAAGCACCAACAACGAGTCACTGTTGGGTGTAGCTTTTGGGCTGGCGGAGTTATCGATCTGTGAACGTTATCGTGACCTGACAAAAAAAAACTTTTTATCGCCTGAATTAGATGACATGCACTTGGTCAATATGTATGTATGTGGATTTAACAGGATGGTGGCACTTTCCACACAATCTCCCTATTACAAGCATCTGCCGTGTTATTGAATCACCCTATATGTAGGTACATAGGTTTGTACATATGCAAATACTTCTGCGGATATCAGTGTAATTTCGCGTCTGTGCGTACTTTTATTTAGGTTAGTGATGTTAATGCTGCTTATTTGAAGTTTTGACGAAACATGTGTTCACACATACATAAATATATCCACCTACATATGCATATATCTGTACATATGTATATTCCATATATTGTTTGACAAGTTTAGTGGGAGTCGCCGGAACACAAATGCCTACTTCTGCGCAGATGTTTGTACTAGAGCTTCAAATTAATCTCCTTACAAATAGAAGTTTAAAACTCCTTCCAACGTTGAGTTTAAGAAAATGCATATATGCATCTAAACTCGAGCAATGGAAAATGTAGAAAAGTTTTTGGAAAAAAAACCAAGGATGTGACTATCGGTTATTTTGCAAAATTTTCATTAGCAACTAAAACACAAAAATTATCCCCGAACGATGAGGAAAACTTAACTAAAAAGTGGAAAGTCGAAATATTATTTTTTAATTCTCTTAACATCCTGTAACCTGTATGAAGTAGTATTTCAAGCTATATTTTAGTTCCACCTTTTTTTGCATTAAAACAAAATTTAATTAACTTCTCAATGGAAGTATTATTTTCACAAGGTTCTATCATTTTCCAGCAAACCCAGAAGATCTAAAATCACAATCGAACTAAAAGGAAATGTGCGTATATTTTGGGGTGACTTTGCGACACATAAACGGATAAACAGTAGGCATATGCTTTGTGACCACACTAGCAGGACCATAAACAATGCATCGTAGAGCGTAAAGGCCACAATTTGTTATGGATGAATATACAGAAATAATTACACTCATGGTGATTATTGTGATAATACCCTGCAGAAAAAAAAAATTCTCAATTGATTAAAATAACTAACTTCTAGTTAGCTTTTTTGCGGGATTTGGATAAATAACAAACTTTTAATTAGCTATGACAAAACCAACTTTATGTTAGTTGCAAAGTCGTGAAGGAGCCATGCAGACGTTATCGGGAGTTTGTTTTCTTTACAAGTTTCTATTACAATATCCTCGTTAAAAAATTACTTTCAATACACTTTTTTTCTGCACTTCGCAGATTCTCTTTCGTATTCAGGACAAATAAAATAAAGGTCGAAATTTTATATTATCATTTTAGTGTTAAGTCTGATCGAATTCAAATATGAGGCCACACACAAAAGAACATGTAAACATATATGTACTTTTAAACAAAATAAGTAAATAAACAAAAAATTTAAAAATTTTAAAAATCTTGTCTTTTTTTTATTGATAGTTTATGTCCAAAAGTAATTAGCTACAAGTTAGTTGACATTTAATGCAGAGGAAACCAGTTCTATTTAGCCGCCATCGCGCTTCAAAAGTAGTTAGTTACGGCCAAAGGAAATAGTTAATAAATAGTTACCACTAGCCGACTGCTAGTTATTCAATAGTTGGCTACAAACTAGTCCCATTTCCTGCAGGGTATTGACAGAATGAAGTTGACTGTTAGGCGACTAAATAATACTCACCATGGTACCCTTATTCTTTGCATACTTTGCGGCTGAATTCGCCGCACGTTTTTCTCTGAATTTGTTAGTGAGGCCTGAGTAATATCGTAAATTATGTTTAGTAGCAGCGTGTAACGTAACTGCTTACGTTTATCATATCCATTTTATCGTATTGTTTGCACTTCACAATGCGTTGTGCCGGCATTGCCGTAGCGGCTTTAGTATAAATTTATTGCCTATACTGTAGGTATATATTTATATATGTATATATACATTTGTACTGAGAGCCGAACAAAAAGTTGCCACTTTGTTGTAATTTTCATTCAAAATTGCTTCATTTTATAAATTTTTTGTAGAAATAATTCGCTTTTTCAAAGATCAGTTAAAATAAAAACTAATTGCCAGATCTAAAAAAAAAAAAACGAAAAACTATCTGGCAAGTTTCAAAAAAATTTACACATCTTTTCTTTGATTAAAAGTCCGTGGTACTGCGTTCATTTTCTGAATTTTTTCATTAAATCGCGTTTTTTGGTCTCATCATAAAATCACATTTGGCCCTTTAAATGCTCATAATTTTACTAGAGTTGGGTGAGCTTTTTGAAGATTTGGTTTTGTGACCAAAAAATCTTAAAACTCGCCAAACTTCAGCGGTGTTAAGCATTTTTGCCATTCAAGGCATAGAATTTTTATTTAGCATTTTTTTTATATGTAAAAAAGAGCAACACCTTCAATAAAAAAATAATAATAAAATTAGCAAAAATCAACGACAAGTACTAGATACTTCAATCTTGCACTTCCACACCACTTATTCTTCCGATTTCGGTTTTTTATACAACCCCTTCACTTAGATAGTTATGGTCCAAATTTGCGTATCCGCATTCTTGTTTTCGCAGGAATCGAAAATTTTAAATTTTCCTATTGAATTTCTAAATAAAAACGTCAAATTTCGGCCCAATATTTAGTGTAATGTATACTTAGCTCTAAACAACTTATAATAAATGAAGTAATGAGTTGCGTTTTGGCGCTAGGTACATACAGTGGCGGTCAAAAATGGATGAATGGTGTTTCGGTTTTAATATTTACAAAGTTTTCAAACTAAAATGTTTTTTGGATAGTTTTTTTATAAAAATATGGTTCATGCTTTAACAAAAACTATATAAATCACACCTTCAAACTTTATACAGAACTTGAAAAATTCCAAAAATATGTATCTAAATTTTAAACTTTTTAACCAGAAGTTTTAGAAATTTTTTGGGTATGCAGTTAAGAGGCTTATAAAATTTTAGCAAAGTAAATTCAAGTTTTGAGCGCCTAAAAATCGCATTGATTTTTGATATTTTTTTTTTGTTGATGGCTTTGGTTTTCAACGTTCCTCGTGAATTTGTTCGCGGAGTACTTTGTCTATTAATATTTATATTTTTTTGCTATAGTTAATTTAAATGATTTATAAAAAACCCAAAAATTCCCAAAATAATTCACACAGGCTTACCACTTAATTATTCATTACCAAATCCACCATGGCAACTTTGTTTTCGGCATAGCCAGCAAGCAAACGAGCCATAGTAAAACACACACAGAATAGGCTTTGAAATGGCAGAGGCGTCGAGGGGGGGAAGAGGGGGCTGACTATTTACGCCGCACGTAAGCAACGTTGCGTTACGTTTGGTGCTTTCATTGCGACGGCGCTTCAACCACTCACAGCAGCAGTGTCAATCCAGTCAGACTACGGTGGGTTGATTGTTTGTTTGCTAGTTGAAGTTGTTTTCAGTCTGAAACGAATTGTTGTGAGCGATGGACGGAAGAGGAACTGGCTGCGTTTAGAATATTTCAACGGATTTGTGTATTTTTTTTTGTGCATTTGTGAATTGTTGATGGGGCAAAGAGGCTAGCTAGCCAGCAGCCAGTCAGTGTCAGAATCAGAGTCAATGCGGTGAAGTACAGTGACAGACAGCCACCACATAGACGGCAGGCCGGTAGATAAAATCAGATAGGCAGTGAAGCTTGAAGAGTTGAAGGTAAAAGAAGTTGGGGAGAACTGCCAAAAAGGGTGATGGCAGTTAGTGAATGCCGGTGAATTTTTTATGCACTAAATAGCGTTGAAGAATTTTGTAGCAAAAGCCATACTTTAAGGTGGAGAAATACTGTGAAATTAGGGTTTTATTAACACAATTTATGTATATACGTAAATAAAGTATATTTGTGCAAAAAAAAGTTATCAAAATATAATAACGAAATTACATAAAAAAAATACTCGAGCAATTGTTGCGCTGGGTTTATGCGCCTAAAAGTGTATCACGTCCGGCAAAAAGCACGCAAATGAACAGATAGAGGATTAAAGGAAGAGGATATAAAAACAGAAAAACCTCAGTGCATACACATACATACATATATGTGCAGACGTACACACGTACAATATCTACAGGAGACATAAAAGTCAAGTGGTGGTGGTACCTGCCGCTGTAGTGTTTGCACATGTGTGTGTATGTATGCGCAATTTTGTTTATGTGTGCGTAACTCTTCGCATATCCTTAAATAATTTTGCAACGCTTCCATACACAGATAGCGCGCGATTTGTAAGAAAAAATTGAAAAATTGCAATAAGAAAATCAAAAAATCAATCAAAATTTCACATCAAGCTGAGTGTATTGGCATCTTATTTTTAAAACTTCAATAAAAAATTTATTAAAGTGGAGTGTACGAGCAATAAATTAGTGTCAAAGAGAACGAAATAGGTTACAAAATCCTTAAAGCTCACAGAAACATTGTATGTATGTGCAGAAAAATCAAAGAAAAAGCAAAACCGACTACCAACAAACAAGTCAGCCAAATTAATAGAAGGCCAACTGCTAGACAGCCAAACCGCCCCCGAAAAGCAGGCAACACATCACACCGCAAAAGGACGAAGCATCAAAGCAAAAGGATAATTTGTTAGCGTGATTGTGCAGACATAGGGCGCCGTACAAAAAGGAAAATAACAAAAATTTAAATAACTTAAAAAAAAAACGCGGCGTGCAACGTGTCTGATCTGATAAAATCAAAGAAATTAAGCCTTGTATCTCATAGACACCAGCAATTTTAGCTAGCGTCTGCTTTAGCAGGTTAACAAAAACTACAAACAAACCAAAATTAAAATAACTCACTTTTCAAACCAAATACTCCATACCCGATTATCAGTGGAATTGTGCAGTGCATTAACGGTATACATACTTGCATAAACACATACCTACATACATATGTATGTATGTTGATGTGTTAAAGAGAACGCGAAGTGGTGGTTTATATTAGAAAATTCCTTTTGTTCCTCTCGACGTTTCTGGGGCGCATTTCGGAACCGAACAAATACTTCTGGAGTAGAAAATAATACAAAGACTGCAAATTTTGTATTTTTTTCACGATCAATGTAAGTATAGTTTGTCAAATACTTTTCGTTTTTACACATAAATACATACATAATTAAAAAAAGGTTTCAGAACATATTTTTAGTTTAGCATAAGATCTTGTTTTTAAATTACTTTCCGCATAATTTACTTAATTTTTCAGCACAAAAGTATTAACACTTAATACTGAAACTTTTACCTTACTTACTACATACAGTGGTCAAAAAAAATTATAGCCACACATATATTAACAATTTGTAACATATATATATTTTTTTTAATTTTTGTTATTTTTTATAAAAATATAGTTCAATCTTTAACAAAACCCATTTAAATCCAAGTTTCAAACTATGTGCAACATTCAAAAAAATCAACAAACTTTCTTAAAAATTTTCAGATTTTTAATTAGATTTCTTAGAAAGATTGTGGGTATGCAGTTTTGTAGCGCATTAAATTGTAGTAGTATAATGTGCTTGAAAAAACTCTAAAACTCTAAATATTGGCGTTAATTTTTTAGAATTTGCCCTAAATATTTGCTTCCACATAACGAATAACACAATTTATTTTTATATGGCAGAAAGCCGTAACATCTTCGACAAAAAATTCCAAAAAATCAACGGTAATGTTAAACCATTTGAAACTTGGACTTTATTGTACTAGAATTTAATCGGGCACACAACTGCATACTCAAAATCTTTCTACGAAATTAAAGATTAAAAATTTCGAAATTTTTACGAAAGTTGGTTAATTTTTTCTTTAACATTGCAGAAAGTTTGAAACAGAAATGCAAATTTTTTTGTTTTTAATATTGCAAAAAGTTTGAAAATAACATTTAAAAACTTAATTTTTATACCACTGCACTATGGTTCAGAAAGGGATCAAAAGTGGCCAAAATTCAACATCTTATCGGATTGCCTTGAAACTGGTCACTCGGGGATTCAAAACGGCTGATCCAATATGGCGGACGATATGTTCAAAATCAATCGGATTAGTTTCAACCGTGTTACTCAAGGTGGTCGCTGATTTAAGATTTGACATTAAATTTTAAAAATTCAAAATGGCGGATTATATTTTGAAAATATATCGGATTACTTTCAACCTTGCTACTCAGGGTTTTTTGCTGATTGTGAAAACAAACTCTGAATTTCAATATTCAAAATGGTGGATTAAACATAGAGTTTTTTTTTTAATTTGTCTAATTTGCCTAGAACATTTTTAGAGGCCTGTTTGAAATCAAAAACTGTAAATTTACTATCCGATTTTATAAATTCGAAAAGGCCTATTCAATATCACTTACAAACAATTTTACGATATTCCTTAAAAATTCGCTTCTTGGAGGTTTTTTAGATTGAATATTACGAAAAGGATGTTTTAAAAATATTTTGGATTTCTTTGATGACATGGAGTACCCATCAAATTTCGTTAAAATTTTCAGATTTCCTCAATTAAAGAAAGGAAGAAGAGACCAATTTCAGTGGTATTGGAGCACTATTAGTATTTTTAGCCGCATCTTATATGGAGTCGCGAGTCTGTGCACCGCCCCAGTATATGCCACACAATTTTGTTATTCGTCCTGCAGAATCGGCATTGCTTTTGTCGGTAAATTTCCATTTAGTTCACTCATAAAATTTTTACATTATATTTTACCATGAGTTTCTTCTTCTTGTCTGGCCAAGGTATAAGGTGCCTCAGAAAGTTTCTTTTCTCTTTGCAGATTTATCGTCAATTTCATTTTCTTATATACCAATATGTCCTGGAATATAAAGAACCCAAACTCTATTGGTTAGACCCCTTCGCTTTATTTTAGATAGATACTTGTAAAGAGAGATGACATCTAGAAGACCTTCCTTGTTGATAAGAATAGAACTATCTTAGTATTCCTTATGATGAAAACAGTTACATTGGTTGAACAATGTTTTTCTTTCACTTTATCGATAAACACCTGAAAGTTTATTATATCAAAATCCACAATTGACCACTGATAATGTGTTTCTTGATTAATATCCTTTGGTTTAAAAACAGTGGGACATATTTGTACTTAGTCGAAATAAAGTCGACTCCAAAGTTAGTTGCAGCTTTTTTTGACATATATTCAATTGAAACTTATGTCGAAAGGCTGCCACTAACTTTAGTGTCGACTTTATTTTGACTATGAATATGTTGCAGTCAATCAAAAAAAATGCCACCTATACATTTCCATTTGAAAACGGGTGGCTCCTTCTGTTTTTGTATCGCTTACAATTGAAAAAAGTCGAGACTCGAGTCGAGTTATTACTAAAAAATATATTTATGGCCTGATTTTTAGAAGAATATTGCACCAGCGTACGTTCTTATAGGGGTCGTCATGCATGCCGATAACAGTTACGAAAAGTGACCTGTCAGCAGTTTTCAATAAAGCAACTAAACAAGACTTTCTTATCGCCGGAAAGCCCATATCGCTGATGTGAGTTCACATAACGTAGTAAATGTCCCGTGAAAGTCCCTATTACCGACCGGGGTTGGAGGCTCCTTTTGGTGAAAATTCTCAAAGTGAACTTAAAGGTATATTCGACAAACCATCAAAAAGCTAAAATGTTGAGTTATTCCTTGCGCTGGACTATTGCCTGAAATGTGGTTAAGCCCGTCAAAATCTAAGCACATTTCTGCTTTCTTTTCCGCAATCATTCTTCAAAACGAACAAAATTTACATATATATATATACATTTTTACAGCAGACCTTCGCCGCAGGGAATTGCAAATGGTCATAGGAAAAATGACTTTCGCCCCTTTTTCCAGACACTTTTTAATTACATTAAAACATCATAAAAAAAAGTCCTTCCCCTTTGGGAAGCGTTTGTCAATTACAAGGATTCATTGAATTAAATTAAATTGCAATCATTGACGAATAAAAAAAAAAATAGTTATGCGAACCGAGGTGAAGTGAAAGTGCTGCTCTGGAGGATTGCACACCTCGAAATCACACCAGAGCAAGCAATTAGAGTGACTGCAAAGAATCATCTAGGCATGTAGTAGTTGGAGAAATACGCAAATACTTGTAAAATGCTCATTTCAACACTTGTGCATGCAAGTACATAATCCATCTAGCAATTGCATAATGAAAATTTCACTACAAAACAACAACATAACCCCTTACCACAGCCACAGAAGTCATCATAAATAAATAAAATGGTATACAACAACCTGCGCATAGTTCTGCAGAAGAAATAGTGCTAAAGTAGTGCAACACTGCTGAGCGAAAATATTTGCTAAGAACTTTGAAAAAAAAAATGTTAAATGTCAGAAAGCTTTCACTAGCTGAATTATGCTTTCACAACAGCAGCAGTTTTTGTGGCGCTGTGGTTCGCTGCAGTTGCCTGTTGGCACACATTTATAGAAACTCCTTCGAATGGAGGATGTCACTTGCAGTTGCTCCATGGGTCACAGTGGCAAGTGTATTTGCGGCCAAAGGAAATTCAAATAAATATTAAAAAAAAAGAGAAAAAAGAAAAAAAAAGTAAATTAAATTGGAAGTTGTGGGCATGTTTGTGACGTTTTAGGCCCCCTAAGGAAATGTCTAGGATGCGCCAAATGATGACAATTATGAGATACTGCAGAAGTAGACGGGTGGGAAAGTGACTAACAGAATAGACTGTACTACATAAGTGCATATGTATGTATATGTACATAGACTGTAGTTTATTCCCTATCAGGGCGAACACTTGGTGATGCGCCAGCGCTAGTCGAGCCTAACGGCAGATCCAATTATCGAGCTGCCAGGAATAGTAGTAGCATCGGGGCGTGGATAGACGGGTACTATAAAAAATACATAAATGTGTACATGCATACGCTGTATAACTTAACATAACATAACTTAAAAGAAAATAGG